TCGCAACCATCTCCAGTATGTGTGTCTCCCGATAAGTTGTTAAGTCTACGTCACGTTACATACGCTTTCGTGGTACGGCGTCAATGAGTATACAACGTGAGTACTTATACCCTTAGTCGCGACAGACGATCGCCTTTCTCAGAATTAGATAAGTCTCTTTATTGGTGATCAGATCACTGCAACAGCAGCAGCAACAGCAGCAGGAGCAGCGACGGCGGCGGCAGCAAGTTCAAGGTTGACTGGGTAAAAATAACCGGACTCTCTCGTCGGAGAACGAGCTGCTTCTCCTGGTGTTTCTGTTGATTATGCTTAATCGAAAACGTACTGTTTGTCACTTATCGCTAAAACATTTCGAAACTTACTCTATCAAATTCTCGAATAAAGATGTATATGTTTTAAAAGCAATCAGACAAATAGATATTTTTATTAACATCTCCGTGTTGTATTTAAATATTTTTATAAAAAAATTTTAAAAAGCTTCATATTTGCTACTTAAATTTCAATTTTTTTATTAATCCAATTTATTATTTTTTTTTTTAAGGATCATACATAATTTTTTTAAACCATTCTTTTCTATTAATTTTTTTGTCTGTGAAGTTTATCACCAAATCATTGATTGATAAATAGAAAAAATAAGACTTAATAAAAATTATTTTAAAGATATCTTTTAATATGCAAATTTGCTTTAAAAATGCAAAGGAAATAAATGTAATTGCAATAAGTTTTAAAAAACATCTATTAGTTCGCAATAACTAAGAGGAAAATATGATCCATGACAAAAACCAGATAATTAGCAACGTAAGACACGACTCACGCTTCGAACGAAATCGTGATGTCGATAATGGATATTGGAATTTGTCGTGGCAAGAAACGAGTACATACTGCCATAGAGGTGCCATAACGGTGCCCGTTGTCGCTCATGGCTTTCATGAAAAACGTACCTGCCTGAACACACCTCGTTTAGAAAAAGAGTAGTACTCGAGATGACTCGGGCGACCTTAGTCGTGCACCTAAGAGAAATACCGTACTGCACGCGGACCTTCGACGATGAAGATATAACGAGGTCGAGCATGTCAACGACTCTATCATATGATGAGAATCCTTTCCATATACCTCGCAAGCCTAAATCTCGCGAACTAGGTAAAGAATACGCAAGACACGTTTAATCTAGAAAAGTCTGACGTGCTGGACCTCGTTTTCGTAGTCGTCACAGCCTGACAAAAATTATATCCTGCCGAGTAGAATAAATTGTTTATTAGTAATATATTAGTTAGACGTAATAATGAGCTCTGTCTCTGTTTATAATTAAAGATCAAAAACTTGTAACTGTTAAACTTAAATCTGAAAAAGAACAAAGTTGTAAGGAATTTTAAGGAATAAGTAAGGAAGAATACTGTTAAGTAACACATATCTGGTAATAAATAATTAAACCTAGTAATTAACAATTAATTTACTAAAAATGCAAACAGGATCTGTAAAGCAAGATTTAATATGGATAGATTCTGAGATTTAATAAATAGAGAATATTATATACTATTAAATATTATATAATTATAATCGTTATAATACTATATAATTATAATAATTAATAAGGTACATAATGTAATAACACTAGTCTCAACTTTTTATTGAATATTCAAAGTGGTAACACTATTAGTAGCGACATTTCTCATAATATGTAATAAACGATTAGCCTAAAACTTCTGCTTTCGTAGCGTCATCCTCATAGTTTTGTCATCATCATTATCATCGTCGTCATCATCATATCGCATTATCAGCAAACTTCTCCTCAGACGAAATACAAATGAATCGCGTGTTCTTTTGCTTCGTCACATAATAATACATGTACATAGATTAGAGATATTGCAAAAATCTAGCATAAAATCAGTGACGGGTGGGTGTATTTATATATGTATAATTATATATAAATGTGTTTAATTATATA